AACTGCCATCTTGGAAATGGAAGTTGGAAACCATCCTTCTAGCCCACTTTCCTCCTTGATTGCATCATTCTCCTCTCTGCAGACTAGAACTCTGATTTGTATTATGATTGGTAGGAAAGTAGGTACTTTACATAAAAAGTCTGTATGATTTGCTTGTGTCCCATCTTCTATGTGCTCAAATTTAAACACTGCTTACAAGTGTGGGTAGTCATCATAGCCGGTTTTTATTTTTGAAGTCCACACGAAGAGGCTGATTGAATCAACTAAATCAGTATTTGACTTGGATGTTTTGACTGTTGCCTAAATTTTATGGATGCTTTTGATGTAGAATAATGTCTGTAACATGAATTGCTGAAATATTGAATTTAAATAGGAAGTACTATGTATATGTATTATCTTAGTTGATCACATAGGATTTTTTCTTTTTTCTGTTTAGTCTACTTGTAAATATATTCTAAGAAATGAGTGGTCAAGAGGTTGGAACTGTAGTGTATTTTTCAGTGTATAAGACCCTTGAACTTATAAATTAAGCTAAATTAAGCCTTGTCACTTAAATTGTCTTGGCACTAAAAAATAGTGATGATGATGAATTGTCATTCAGGTTAAAGGATGGAAAGCCTAAGGGAGAATTTCACTTTGCCTTTGGATTGATGGTTTTCTTGATGGTTACTTTTTTGATTGCTGTAGTTTTCGAGAAGAATAGGATTTCAAGGCATCACCTGTTTAGCTATTTAGTTCAGACTAACAACTTTTTTGATATTGTCGATAGAAGCTATGCACAGATCCCTTGAACTGTCTCTAAGTTAAAAAATTAGTTTTTTTCTAGTCTTTTTCTGAAGGCAATTAGAAAGTTCAGATTAATAAGTTCTTTGTCCTAATGAACAATAGTTTTGAACATAACAGAATTGTACTGTTTATGAATTGTTTGCACACCTTTAACCAAACCTGTTCAAATGAATACTCTTGAAAAGACATGGATATGAATATATTTCATTAATTTGTTAAAGAAGTAAACAGTAAACTAACACCTGGGAGACAAATGAATTAACACACTGTGAGAAAATGTAAAGTATATATCTTCTGATCTATAAAAAATTGTTTTCACATTTGTGCAAAGAAGCAATGTGTATTTTAAGATCTTAGATTATTTGTAGATTTTATTAATCCAAAATTATATCATAAACTACTGCTCAATTAAAAAATATCATGTTATAATACATGTAAAACCTGATCATAAAAAGGACTGATTTAATAGAGCCTTGTATTTTGTATGTCTAGGTTAACATGTCAGAACATCTTTCAAGGGAGGCAGGACCACAAAGACAGGGGTGGAGTAACTTGATCAAAACACTATGTAGCTGTGTGCATTTTTCCCTTAGATTGCATGTTAAAATCCTTTAATCTTTCAAAAGAATATTCTATCCATACACTGAGAAATATCTTTAACCAGAAACCACTTATGAATGAAATAGGAAATTTCACCACACTCAGTGAATATGATCTTTGACCTGATTCATGCCATTTAAATGTCCTATTAAAAAATTTAGTTTTTAAAGAGAAATTATCTTGAGTTTAATTTGTATTTTTCCTTTTAACTTCATTGCTAACTTTTGCATTTTCTCTGAATAATATAATATTTATGAAGCATTTTAAGTAATATTTAGCGATCCAAAATTGATATTTCAGATTTGGAATAATTGGCATGTTTAATGAATGGATGGCTTTATAAACTAATTGTGCAATTTCATTTTGAACTCTATCAGCCTATGATTTTGTTTCAAAGCATTTTGATACTACGATTGAACTCAGGTTTGGCAGCTTGCTACTCAAATAACTTGAGAGGCAAGTGTCAGTAGGAAGAAAATTGCTTTAATCAGAAAAGCCAGCAATCTAAGCAGAGGATGGACTCGTGTCCTGAGACAAGCTCCCAAGATTCTGGTCTGTCATGGTGGGTTTTCAAAGGAAAACAGAGGGAGAATCTCAGGGAGTGGTGGAGGCAGGAGACTGGGTTCTGCATTTTCCTCTGTGGCTGCAGGCTGGCTGACTCTCTGTTCAGATGTTATCTTGCCCAAGTGATCTGCCTGCAAGTTTGCCAAAGCAACAGTTGTGTGTGGAGAGCTAGTCATTCTTTAACTGCTGAATTCTTACCTCTTTTTATCTAGGAGAAGAAGCAACAAGTCAGGCATTGCATGGTGTGCATTCAGGAGAGCCCAAATTAGGAGCTAGTTTCAATTGCCTAGGGATCTCACTTCTATAATTAGGTTTTTAAGGTTAGGCAGGGACAGAAATGGGTAAACAGGAAAAGGGCTAAAGAGTTGCTTTCAATTCCCCACTGTCAGACATCATTCCATTTCTGTGGGATTGCAGTGAATGTCCATCATCTCCATCTGCTTCCTGCTAACCTAGAGCACTGTATTCTCAGAGTTGAAGATGTCAACATGATTCTATAGCATCTCCTTACTGACAGTGTTAGCTGTCCACCTACCTATACAAGCAGAACAAGCTACACTCATTTTAATGCCCACAAAGATAATTGAGTTATTATGAGCAAAATGTTAATCCCTTTCTCTAGAGATCAGTTCTTGGAATGGTATCAGGCATAGACTCGGTGTGGCTCAAGATGGTGCAGCTTATGTCAGAGCTGGAGTCTAGTCATCATGCAGTTAGCTTTTCCCCTCTGGTGGCAGCTGTAGTATCTGTTAGAAAAAAACTCAGGAATGTGCATCAGACACTGAGACTGTGACATTCTATCGTCTTGATCACTAACTGCTCAAGGCTGCTCTTTTGTGACTCGGGGAGGCCTGAGAGCCTTCAGCTTCTCTACAAACAAGAGGCAGGGAACGTGGAGGGGTGTCTGTCCTTGAGCTGGGAGGAGGGGTCGGGGAGGAGCTACAGGGCTCTCTGCTTCCAGTATCACCGGCTTTTGTGGGAATTCACATGGCAAAAAAGATCTTGAAGTTTAATAAGATTTAATAATATTTAATGATACGTAATCAAAGACAAACACTTTTACATCTTCCAATTTGTCAGAGAACATGAGGGAGGAATCCAAGAGAATAAAACACTCTAAAGCAAAACAATATAAATGCCTTCTACAGTAGACAAAGCTTCAAATAAAGCAAAGACACTCTTATTCTTTCTGACCAATTCCAGAATATTATGTTAGCATGCATTATGAACCTTTATATGCAAGACACTGTGCCAGTCACTGTGATCATGAAGATAAAATTTCCCTAGATGGGATTTTGATGGAGCTTTCACCATCATGGATATACTTTCATGACAGCAAGGAAGTCTGATTCATTAGGTAATGAAATTTTAATTCTACAATCTCAGGAAGAAGAATTGTTTTGAAATAGAAATCATTTTTAGAGTGGTTTAGATACATTGTTATATGATAGATATATTATTTAGTAAAGAAATTTTTATGAATTTGGAGTGAAATTACTTTTGGGGAAGAATTGGGCTGACCTGACCTGTGCGGTACTGAGCACAGTACTGAGCGGCTGTCTCAGTACTGCAGCCCCTTCACAGGGGACAGTGAAGAAATGGAGCCAGCGCCTGAGCACCTGTGTTACATATATTCTAAACTTTGGGGAAATAAGCCTACTCCATGCTTGATTTACTCTTGATCTTGGATTTTCACCAAATACAGTGCTTTCATATACATATACAGCAGGTCTCAGCCCTAGGGCAGCATTTTAAGCAAATCTAGGTTTTCATTATGTCTGCTTGTGATGAACTGATTTATACTTGCTTTTTCTAAGATAAAGGTTATTTTTTTAAAATTCCTCAGAGTAACAAACAAGCAAAAAGTCCCAAAGCCTCATGAATCTGAAAAGAAAGTTTTCAAGTTTCCATTTCAAACCTCCTGTATTAGGATAATAAAAGAGTTATTTACAATGATCTCTCCAAGAGGGCTGAAAATCAGCTGAGAAATGTGAATAGAAAAATAAAGAGATAGTCAAATGCTTTGACTTTTCAACTCTGCTCAACATTTTTTTTTTTTTTTACTCTAAATAATCAGTGACACTTTTGAGGTCTATCTTTGCTTCTGAACTGATTACTGTTTAAGATTAATATTCCTTCAGTTATGCTGCTGCAATTAGGCCTTCTTTCTCTCATCTAGGTCACCTGAGGGATTTTTTTTTTTGACAGTACATATTGTAATAAACAGTATTTTGGTGCTTAAACATTGAATAAAAATGTTCTCTTTATTTTTGTTTTACTGATGTTAAAAATATTTATTTCTTTATTTGGCTGGAGATCTTTGATCTTCATCATGGCATGTGGAATCTTTAGTTGCAGCATGCAAACTCTTAGTTGTGACATGTGGATCTAGTTCCCCAACCAAGGATCAGACTTGGGTCCCCGGCACTGGGAGTGCGGAGTCTTAGCCACTGAACCACCAGTGAAGTCCCCAGATTTTCTCTTTAATTAGAATAAAATTTTAATGCCTGAAGGATATTTCTTTGAAAAATCAGTGTTATTCTAGGAACATTTGAGTCAGTACCGAGTATAGGTTTCCAGTATTATTTTCTATATTTTCTAGAAAATGGGTATTACTTTAGGATCTTAATGTGTATATGTCTGACCAATTAACTAAGACTCCTGCTCTGCCATTTATTAGGAATAGATCTTTTAGGATTTTAGCAGTGAAGACATCCTTTTGCTTGTTTCTTAACCTGACTTATTCCTAGAGGTATGTTTCAACTTATTTTGGAGTGTGATCAGTGGCTTCTTGGGTAAACAGCATTTTGTTTTTAGCTAAAATGTAGTACAATGAAATGACACATGAAGTTCTTGTACATGAAAAGAAAAATGTTTTTGACACATGCATGATAGACTTGTTATTAAGGACAAATTTTAAAAGATGGAGACTTACCTGTATTTTATGTACTGTCTATGATTGTTTGGAAAAGTCCTGCCTTCGTGTGTGTTTTGTCAGAAACATTTAGGGTCATCTCTGAACTCTACGTGGCATCTCTCTTTTTCTGTAG